AAACTTTTATCCCACCAATGACGTTATTTTTAGCCCGTGACGTCATTATCCTTCTCTATGACATCATTTCATTCCCGTGACGTCATTATCCTTCTCTATGACATCATTTCATTCCCGTGACGTCATTATCCTTCTTGATGACGTCATTTCCTGGCTGTAATGGTATTCTCCGACGCTTCAATACACAACTAGTTAGTGGGTCCGTACACCTGACCACCGTGTACACAGGGAGGAAGAGAGGGAGGAGTGTACACAGGGAGGAAGAGAGGAATGGAGGGAGGGGAGGAGAAGGAGGAGAGGAAGGAGGAAGGAGGAGGAGGAAGAAGGGAGAAAGGAGAAGTACTCAGGGATGGAAGGAGGAAGTACTCAGGAGGGAACGAGGAAGTACTCAGGAGGAACGAGGAAGTACTCAGGAGGGAACGAGTACTCAGGAGGGAACGAGAAGTACTCAGGGAGGAACGAGGAAGTACTCAGGGGAGACGAGGAAGTACTCAGGAAGGGAACGAGGAAGTACTCAGGAAGGGAACGAGGATGTGGTTAGTTTCTGGTAAGAAGTTAATGGTGCTGACCTGACCCTAACCCCAACAACCTCCTCTGACCCCCAACTACCACCTGACCCCAACAACCTCCCCTCCTGACACCTTCACCACTGACCCCAACAACCTCCCTCCTGACACCAACTACCCCTGACCCCAACAACCTCCTCCCTGACACCCCAACAACCTCCTCCTGACGCAACTACCACCCCTGACACCCAACAACCTCCTCCTGACACCCAACTACCACTACAGCACTACCACTATTACTACCCTACAAACTACCGTCACCACTACTACTGTTCCATTTTACCATCACTACAACAATCACCACAACCACTACTACTGACCCCAACTACCCCCACAGCATCAGAAGTGAGAGTTGCAGGTCATTACGCTTCAGGAAAACGACGGTGTGACAATGCAGGTCTTATAAATAATTCCCATTGTCACGTTACTAAAAGCTTTCCTTGGTGATGTGAACGGTGATTGGTGATGTGAGAACAGTGTATTGGTGATGTGAGAACAGTGTATTGGTGATGTGAGAACAGTGACTTGGTGATGTGAGAACGGTGTATTGGTGATGTGAGAACGGTGTATTGGTGATGTGAGAACGGTTTATGTGGTGATGTGAGAACGGTGTATTGATGTGAGAACGGTGTATTGGTGATGTGAGAACGGTGTATTGGTGATGTGAGACGGTGTATTGGTGATGTGAGAACGGTGTGGTGATGTGAGAACGGTGTATTGGTGATGTAGGAGCAGTGTATTGGTGATGTGAGAACGGTGTATTGGTGATGTGAGAACGGTGTATTGGTGATGTGAGCAGTGTATTGGTGATGTGAGAACGGTGTATTGATGTGAGAACGGTGTATTGGTGATGTGAGAACAGGTGTATTGGTGATGTGAGAACAGTGTATTGGTGATGTGAGAACAGTGACTGCAGGGTTCGGAAGGAAGAAGGGGAGGGGGGGGGGGGGGTCAAAGGAAACTCCGTAACAAACAGAGGAGGAGATGCAGCCCCCCCAAACTTGACCTGACCTCCCTGGTGATGACATTCTCTTTGTTTACATTCGGTCATGTTTTTGATGGACAGGAAACAAGGTCAGGTTTTTGTTATATAGTTAAGTGGGATAACACACACACACACACACACAGGCAGACAGAGGCACAGACACACACAGGCAGACAGAGACACAGACACACACACACACACACACACACACACACACACAGGTGACAGTGTTATGGTGGGCTGAAGAAACCAGGTTATCTGATATGCAGGTGTAGCCTTGTGACTACCTGCCCTCCTTCCCCCTCCTTCACCCTCCTTCACCCCCCTTCCCTCCTAAGCGCCCAGAGAAAGTGTGGTCCGTCCCTCCCCTCTCTCCTTCCTTTCTTTTCCACCCTTCCTTTTTCGTTCCTCCTTCATTCCCTTTCCTGCCCTCCTTCCTCTCTCACTTTCTTCCTTTCCCTTCCTTCCCTCTTTCTTCAACCCTAAACCCCTACCCTTCTTTCCCTCCTCCTCTTCCCCCCTCCTTCAGTTCTTCTTCCCTCTTCCCTCCTCCCTTCTTCTCCTTCTTCCCCCTCCTCCAGGTCACTGTGGCGCCATCAGGTGTTCTTTGTGCACCATTAATTGAGTGTTGCGTAGTGGTGCTTACCTGAGCTTTACAGGTAAACCCGATCCTCTCTCTCTCTCTCTCTCTCTCTCTCTCTCTCTCTCTCTCTCTCTCTCTCTCTCTTTCTTTACTCTTCTGTCTGTTTAACTCTCTTTAACTAACCTAACCAAACCTAAATTCCTCACCTAACAAACCTACATTAACCTAACCTAACCTAATTTAATTCGAGTTAATATAGCAAGGCCGTCTAGTACTGTACCTCCATAGATGATTTGCTATACAAGCACACTACACACACACACACACACACACAAGGTCCCAGGTACAGTGATAACGGCCTGAGACCCAACAACAACCAACGATGTGTTAATCCGTCTACGATAGGAAGGCCTGGGATCACACCTCACTCATAGAACACCGTCTGTGAGGGAACTACTACACCACGTGAGGCCCTCATAACACCATCTGTGAAATTACTACACCACGTAGAGCCCCTCTTATCACCATCTGTGAGAATTACTACACCACGTGAGGCCTCCTCTTACCATCTGTAGAATTACTACACCGTGAGGCCTCTTAACACACATCTGTGAGGGAATTACTACACCGTGGGGCCCCTCATAACACCATCTGTGAGGTACTACACCGTGAGGCCCTCATAACACCATCTGTGAGGTACTACACCTAAGGGCCCGCATAACACCATCTGTGAAATTACTACACCACGTGAGGCCCTCATAACACCATCTGTGGGGAATTACTACCGTGAGGCCCCTCATAACACCATCTGTGAGGTTCACCACGTAGGTCCTCCTAACACCATCTGGGAGGGTTACTACACTACGTGTTTGCTGTTCAACACCTACATTAATCTGTATGTTCACTGTATGTTCCTTACCTTTCTCCTAATGAAGGCTTTTGTTAAACCACCAATGTATGTAATAAGTCATTTTATGTCAATGTATATTTTCAGCCTTCGGGCGCAGAACTTTCAATAAACCGTTAGTATTATTATTATTATTATTATTATTTACACGACTGTCACCGCTCTGGGCATTACGTGACTTATAAACTTATATAAAAAAAACGAAAATTGAAAATAAACTTGAAACTTTTTTTTACTTCTACATCTCCTTGAAGGTAGGTAATGATTCAGTCAGTCAGTCAGTCAGGCAGTGAGTGAATCAGGCACTGTTGGCAGGTACTGGTCACGTGCAGGCTTTGGAATGTCCCTGGAGGCTCTGTCTTGTACCCTGAGGCTTTGGAATGTCTCGGAGGCTCTGTAATATACGTGAAGGCTCTTGACTAGGAAAGTGTCAGTAAGGAGAGATATAAGTACACATAACGAGGTGGCGAGGCGTGGCTCAGTGGCGAGGTCGGGAGGTCGTGCAGCTCGCCAGGGGTTGATGGCCGGCCTTGTGTGTGTGTTAATACCTCAATAACTAACCGTGTGAGGGGCATGACCTGGAGTCCTGACCTGATATTGGTCCACTGTCTTCTGAGTCCCCATCAATGTCTGACCTTAACCTGACCCTAACCCAGCCTAACCCGTCTCAGGTAACCATCGTCTTAGGTGACGACAGTTTATCATATAGTGTTTTCTGCTCCAGAGTTCGTGAAACATGAATCCAGATCGTTAGGATTTCTTTCAACTCAAAATGGATTCGTTTTCCTACAGACTACATAAAAGACTTCCTCGGCAGAAGACTCTCACTTTGTAACGCAATTTCATATATTATACGAGAGACTTTTTATATAACACGTAAACAGGGTTATAAGGATCTCTGTGCAAGAACAGTGACGGATTTGTTGTGGATTCATCTATTTAGGAACGCAAGCTCTTCCTCTACGTCAGGGATGATTGTCTCACTCAGCCACTGTTATACCATCTGGTGCCGAGGGTTCTAAGAGGAGAGCAACACTGTACATGATGGTTACTGTACAGGGTGAGGGAAGTGAGGACATGGGCAGAAGTATTTACACAGGTGGTGGATCAAGCACAAATTAAGAGACGATAAAAAATTTGTAATTGGAGATATTATTATTATGAAATTCACACACACACCTCCACACCTGTACAACACCTCCCTCACCACAACACCTCCCACACCTGTACAACACCTCCCACACCTGTACATGTAACAGAAGTACAAAAGGTAATGTATTATCCAAGGCTGGTCCAACGTCTGCCCCTCCTACAGGTACCAATCTCACCTGTAGTAGTTCACCTGGGCAGCCAATGAGCTCCTGGAGAGGTTGTGACCCTCTCTCAATCATCAACAATATCAATTACAATCAAAATACAAAGTAAAAAAAGAAATCTATGTTAAAAAAAAATATATATAAATAAAAGTTTAAGTCACAAATAGACACAAGAAAAGAAACTGAATTGAGAATAAAAGCACATTAATAATAGTTCATATCATCATCCTCAAACACACACACCTCCTACACCCCCCTGCACACACACCCTTCCCCACACCCCTCCCCTTCCCCACACATCACCCCACCCCCCTACACCCCACACACACCCCTTCCCCACACACACCTCCCTACACCCCCCACACACACCCTTCCCCACACACACCTCCCCCCTTCCCCACACATCTCCACACCCCTCCCTACACCCCACACACACCCTTCCCCACACACACACCTCCCCCTTCCCCACACACTCACCCACACCCCTCCCTCACCCCACACACACCCCTTCCCCACACACACCCCTCCCCCCTTCCCCCACACACCCCTCCCCTTCCCCCACACATACCCTCCCCTTCCCCACCCCTCCCCCTTCCCCCACACCCCTCCCCCCTTCCCCCACACACACCCCTCCCCCACCTCTCTATGACCTCAAACTGACCTTGTTAGTGACGTCACCGCAGTGTGTGACCTCCTCCGTCTCTCGCTTATTCTCAGCCACCTGGTGTGAGTTAACGATGTGTTCAGTCTTCTCGGACACTACTACAGCGCCTCCTACAGGTACCCAGTTCTCCCCTGGGGTCTCGTCCGCTCCTCCCTCCTGCCCCTCGGGACGTAGGTTCTGTGGGAGGTAAGAATGATTAATGAACATAAGAACATCATACAATAAGGAGTCTGCAATAAGCCGGTTGGCCTGTGCATGGCAGCTCCTGTCGAGAGTTACTACCACTCTCTATCATCCATGAATCTATCTAGCCTCCTTTTAAAACTTTCCAGCACTTACAAAAGTTGCTAAGCTTGTTCCACTCATCCACCACCCTATTAGTGAACCAGTTCCTTCCTACCTCCCCTAAACCTAGACTTATCAACAAATCCGTTGCTCCAGGTCTATCCTGCTCGAATATTATAAGAACTTTATCTATATCCTATTGATTCCTTTCACCCTTAAATACTTCTATCATATCTCCCCGTTGTATAGAGCAGTCAGGGGTTTTACATGCTGCCTGTCTAGTGCTGTCACCTGTTTAGTGCTGCCACCTGTCTAGTGCTGTCACCTATCTGAGTGCTGCCACCTGTCTGGTGCTGCCACCTGTCTAGTGCTGTCACCTGTCTAGTGCTGTCACCTATCTAGTGCTGTCACCTATCTAGTGCTGCCACCTGTCTGGTGCTGTCACCTGTCTAGTGCTGTCACCTATCTAGTGCTGTCACCTATCTAGTGCTGCCACCTGTCTGGTGCTGCCACCTGTCTAGTGCTGTCACCTATCTAGTGCTGTCACCTATCTGGTGCTGTCACCTATCTAGTGCTGCCACCTGTCTAGTGCTGTCACCTATCTAGTGCTGCCACCTGTCTAGTGCTGTCACCTATTCTGGTGCTGTCACCTGTCTAGTGCTGTCACCTGTCTAGTGCTGTCACCTGTCTAGTGTTATCAACAATTACAGTCACTAAAACAAACATTAAATAAAAAAAAATAAAATAAAGGAAAAATAATAATATATAATTAATACAACTATGAGTACAGACTAAAATAATTACCAGGTATTGTCAATGAAGGTAAATAAATGGATCAGGGCAGGTTATATTCTGGAGCATACGAGAGAGAGAAATACATACAGTATATGCAGTAGTATATATGTATACTATACATACATAAATAGCGTACATTCACACATATACATACTGTACATATACTGTATAATAGCTAGATGGACAGACAGACAGAGAGAGACAACCTTGCCAGTGAACCACAGTGAGGGGTGGGGGTGAGGTGGGGGTGAAGAGAGTGGGGGTGAGAGGAGTGGGGAGGTGAGGAGGAGTGGGGGAGTGAGGGGGTGAGGAAGGAGGTGGGGAGGACTCAAGTAGTTTAACACTGTATGTACTCTCGCTAGACGGATCTGTGACTTGTAGCGAGGAGGGATGTCCAGGTACAAACGCACACACACGACACGAATACACACACACACACACACACACACACACACACACACACACACACACGCACACGTTACCAAGCTAATATCCTTGTAATTGAAAGTTAGAATGCACTTAACGGTTTTACTTAGTGTAACAAAAACACTGGAACAATGTTTATAAATAATACAAAGTTACTCTGAGACTCTACCTTAACAGGAATACCTTTAACGAGATACCTTAACGAGATACCTTAACGAGATACCTTAACTGAACACGTTCACTTAACACCAGAAAGTTATAATAGATCATTTGGGACCTTAACTGTGACTCCTAACTGGTATTAAATGAATGTATCGTTAAATTATCTGGATTAATGTATCTGATTCAATATATTCGTTAAGATCTCGTTAAATCTCTAAAATCTCGTTAATGTATCTCGTTAAGGTATCTCGTTGAGTAGAGGAGTCTCAGTGTAATTATATCTGGACAGTATCTCTTGTTTTTACCTCAGGATATCCTCTTGTGTACACGCTGTCACATCTGTGGGAACGTCGAGTGTTGTGTGTATGTGTACCGTGTGTATATGTACCCGTGTGTATGTGCCGTGTATGTGTACGTGTGTGTTGTACTTGTGTTATGTGTAATGCCGTATGTATGAGCCTTACGTGTGTATGTGTACGTGTGTATATGTACCCCGTGTGTATGTGCCCGTGTGTGTGTATGTGTGCGTGTGTGCATGTGTGTGTGTGTCGGCACAAGGAGAGAAACGTATTAAAATCCATTAAGACTGTAGTGAAGTTATATGAGCCACCGGAAGCCTCCTGACGGGATACATAAGGTTCAAGTTACAGTGCATTTTGTAAGGCCAGTGTGACGCTAACTATCACTCTTCACATTATTAACCTCAAGTTTGATATTAATGAGGCATCTTTCGCCTCATTCTGGCCGAGATTAGCAAGATGGCGTCGTTTCTTCTATATGACTCGAGGTGGTGTTTCGTAATGTGACCCAGATTTAGGTCTCTCTCTCTACCTCTTTTCCTACTCAGGACATATACATTTGTGTGTGTGTGTGTGTGTGTGCGTGTGCGTGTGTGTGTGTGTGTGTGGGTGTGTGTGTGTGTGGGTGTGTGAGGGTTAGCTACTGGGCGGAGAGGTGAAGTAGTATGCTGTGGTGGTGAGCCTCCACCCGCATAGTTCCACCTCCACCACCTCCTCCCAAACACGCGCCACACTCATTCCACGTCCCCGATCTGCCATCGTCGACCACAGCACACTCATACATCCCCGATCTGTAAATAGACTGACACCTCAGCGACACATCACCGATCTACCATCATCGACCACAGCCACGCTCCTTGCATGCACCGATCTACCATCATCGATCACAGCCACCTCAACCACATCCCCGATCTACTTATCATCGACTACAGCCACACTGAACCCATCACCGATCTACCATCATCGATCACAGCCACACTCAACCGCTCTCGTCTACCATCATCGACCACAGCCACCAATACATCACCGATCTACCATCATCGACCACAGCCACTCAGCACATCCCGCCGACCTTCTCAACGACTTCCATCTTTAATCTACACGCGTTGGTCTTTCACTCTTCCTCAAGCGACCTTCATTCACAACTTCCATCATGCTTAATTACAGGTGGGACATGATGACGCGGTGTGATGGCCTGGTTTGGTGCCGCAGTGGTTTGGTGACGCAGTGTTTGGTGTTTTGGTAACTGATGACGCTAGTTGGTGACGCAGTGGCAGTGACACCGGTGACTTGAGCGCCATTATTAACGCCAGATGAGGTGTTAGTGATAAGGAATTACCCACCCGATCAACCCACTCCCACCCACTCTCACCCCACCCCATCCTCAACCCTCCCCCCGCTCATCCTGTCGCTCACCTGTCACGAGGGTGTTGATGAGGCGCCCTGTCGTCCTCACCTTTCCTCACGATACACGACACGGCCTACACCACACGTTGATGGCTCTCTGTCTCTGTCTTCTGTCTCTGTCTCTCTCTCTCTCTCTCGTCTCTCTGTCTCTCTGTTCCTCTGCTCTCTCTCTCTCTCTCTCTCTCTCTCTCTCCTGACACGTGTGGGAAGGAGTGTTGATGGTGTGGTTGCTTCAATACCTCCCACCAGACACTGGCTTACCCCCCCAATACACACACCTCAGGACCCACCACACACCCCTTCCAGGACCCACCACACCTCAGGACCCACCACACACCCTTCAGGACCCACCACACACCCCAGGACCCACCACACCCTCAGGACCCACCATACACCCCTCAGGACCCACCACCCCTCAGGACCCACCTACACCCCTCAGGGCCCACCACACCCCTCAGGACCCACCATACACATCCCTCAGGACCCACCACACACCCTTGGACCACCACACACCCTCAGGACCCCACCACACACCCTCAGGACCCACCACACCCCCCTCAGGGACCCACCACACACCCTCAGGATCCCACCACACACCACCTCAGGACCCACCTCATCAGCATGCACCTCCTGAGTGACCGTGTCCTCCTTACAGTCAGTGGTGACGACGGGGCCAGAGTCCTCCACCACCTGCCCGTCCTCCAGCACCACCTGCCGCTGTGTCCTCGTCTCTATGTTCTTCGTCGTCGTGGTCGTCACCTTCTTCCTCGTCAGCCACTCTTCTGTAGAGATACCAACAAGGTCAGAATTTTGGCTCCATCCTTTCTGTATGTATGTATGTATGTAATGTGTGTGTGTGTGTGTGTGTGTGTGTTGTGTGTTTGTGTGTGTGTGTGTGTGTATATATGTATAAATGTATGTGTGTGTGTGTGTGTGTGTGTGTGTGTGTATGTATGTGTGTGTGTATGTATGTTATGTACTGTATGTGTGTGTGTATGTATGTATGTATGTAATGTGTATGTAATTATGTACATGTATGTATGTATTTCAATTATAGCGATAACAACATCAAATTATCATTATCAATCAGCCTCTATAATAATATTGTATAATGTCTCAACTACTGGTTTATATGATCAAAAATCAACAATAATGTTAAGATAATCGAGAATAATCTGTTAATAATCTTATATTAGTGTAACCTGTTAAACCATCGTTCTTAAAGGGGTTTAACCATCGTCTTCAAAGGGTTAAACCATTATACTCAAAGGGTTAAACCATTATACTCAAAGGGTTAAACCATTATACTCAAAGGGTTAAACCATTATACTCAAAGGGTTTAAACCATAGTCCTCAAAGAGTTAAACCATCGTTCTCAAAGGGTTAAACCATTATACTCAAAGAAGTTAAATATAGTTCACAAAGGTTAAACCATTATACTCAAAGGGTTAAACCATTATACTCAAAGGGTTTAAACCATTATACTCAAGGGTTAAACCATTATACTCAAAGAGTTAAAACATCGTCATCAAAGGAATAATCTCATCAAATGCCGACCCAAATTAATGAAACTTAGTGTAAAATAAAACAATAATTAGTATTTGTCTTCAATTTCATTCATATATCTTCATTAGGTTAGGTTAGGTTAGGTTAGGTAAGTGACGTCATTCCTTGCTGTTTCGAACACGTCATATCCCTGACGTAAACAAGAAACGTTTATTTTTACCTTATTGATGATATAAACGTTTATTTTACCTATTGATGATATAAACGTTTATTTTTACTTATTGATGATATAAACGTTTATTTTTCTTATTGATGATACAAACGTTTTACCTAATTGATGATACAAACGTTTATTTTTACCTTATTGATGATATAAACGTTTATTTTTACCTTATTGATGATACAAACGTTTATTTACCTCAAGAAAGAAACGTTATTTATCATTTATCTAAGGAAAGAAACGTTTATTATCATATATCTAAGAAAGAAACGTTTTTTATCATATATCTAAGAAACGTTTATTTATCATTTATATTAGGAAAGAAACGTTTGTTTATTACTTATTCAAGAAAAAGAAACGTTTATTATCATATATCTAAGAAAGAAACGTTTATTATCATATATCTAAGAAAGAAACGTTTATTATCATATATCTAAGAAAGAAACGTTTATTATATCATATATCTAAAGAAAAACGTTTATTATCATATATCTAAGAAAGAAACGTTTATTTATCATTTATTAAAGAAAGAAACGTTTATTTATCACCCCAAACATGACCTTGATGACCTGACTTTTGTCGTGACCTGATCTTGACGTGACCAACATTAACATAATGTGGGCAGTACAGTAACAAGGGACAGTACAGTAACAAGGAACGGTAATAGTAACAAGGGTAGTGTAAAGAACATTTCGAGTAACAAGGAGTATTTTGAGTACCTTAGAGAGCTGTTGTTTGGGGCGGATTTGACCGGTTATATTAGTCTGACGGCCATGACACCATAATTGGTCATGTGGTGCTCCTGACCTCGACTGCTGGTTCTGCTGGCCGGCATTCTGTAATAAAGGGTTAGGTTAGGTTAGGTTAGGTTAGGTTTGGTTAGGTTTTGTTGGGTTAGGTTAGTTCTGGGATAAAGATTATTATTATCTATAAATAATAATAATAAAACACTAAATATGTAACGTAAATGACATTAACATAAATTTTGTGACTCTGGGGCAGAGGGTGTGTGTGTGTGAGTGTGTGTGTGTGTGTGTGTGTGTGTGTGTGTGTGTGTGTGTGTGTGTGTGTGTGTGTGTATGTGTGTGTGTGTGTGTGTGTGTGTGTGTGTGTGTGTGTGTGTGGTGTGTGTGTGTGTGTGTGTGTGTGTGTGTGTGTGTGTGTGTGTGTGGTGGTGTGTGGGCGGAGTGCCTGGTGAAAACTTTTTCTGGGAACGCTTAAACATCTACCACCTGTACTATACTGTGAGGCGGGGAGATACTGTTGTTTTACCTGGAGGGGGAGGGGAGGGAGGAGGAGGGGGAGGTGGGAGGGGGGGAGGAGGAGGGGGAGGAGGAGGATAATCATGGGGAGTTTTGGTAGAGAGAGAGATCATAGAAAGAGATAAGTGAGGAAGATCTCAATGGCTTTCTCTCTCTCTCTCTCTCTCTCTCTCTCTCTCTCTCTCTCATCTCTCTTTCTCTCTCTCTCTGTCTCTCTCTCATGAGGTACCTAATGCTGTAACATAAAAGGGAGCCGTACTGTCACTACCCTCAGCAATACGTAACTTCTAG